AATGTTCCGGCCCCTGGCATTCATCCTAGTGCTCCCCTAAAGCATGTGATGGGCGTTGAAGTCACCGGTGATGATCCAAGGCCCATCGGTTCTCATTAGGATGCATTTTAATCTGTCGCAGTCAAATCGCGATGATGGAGATATATATCCACCAATAAGCGTGAACGAAACTGCATTCTTCTTCACACGAAGACACACGTACTGATTGTCGTCATTTGAACTTATTGGGTGCGAAAGATAAGTCAAGTCTGTGCGAATGTAAACAATTACTTTGCTTCATTCTTCGCAAGCGGCTGAACAAAAAGCTTCACAACCGGACAATCTATAAGGCGTTGATACGTTTGGTTCACATATGACAAGTATAGGGAATTGGAATTGATTGGCCTGAACAAATTGGCGAAAGCCCGAGATACGGGACTTCATGCCTCGGGCATTCCACTGAAAAATCGACGCACTTTTAACTTCAGTGCGGAAGTGGAGATTTTGTTGAGCCATTGTGCTTATACAAAGTTAGCAAGAACTGGATTCAGTGCATCCAGTATTTGCAGTGCACTCTTAGCAAACGGAGATTGTATGCTGCTCAGTAGCGTGCGAATCGTGGCAATTAATGATTGCACGATTGCAGCCACTTGCCTGTCTTGGTTGGAAAGATCTCGAACCGGGACGCTTGCAGTCACTTGCCTGTCTTGGTTGGAAAGATCTCGAACCGGGAGCGCGGACTGGCCGTCATGAAGCTCCTTCGGTTCGCTTGATGCTGCTTCCCTTTGAAGTGCAGGCCACTCTGTCGCAGTTAGGGTATGCTCACTGGCTTTGTCCTTTACAGCCTTTCCCACGGCATGTGGTCTGGGAGGCAAAGGAGGTGGTACTGATGAGGGATCACGCAAACGTGTCGAGGAGGTAGCGGGCGTCCTCGAAGACCGACGTCGACGTGAACGACGCCTTCTGACTTTAGCTGCGGCTTCTCGATGAGATGAGTGATCGCGCACAATCTCCTTCAAGATGGCAATTTCCTTCTGAATCCGCGGGCAGTCCTTCGATGTGGCTTCATGGGATCCATTGCAATTAGAGCATTAAGCAGAGTCAGCTAAAGCGTTCCACGCAATCGCCGAACGCATTTCTATTGACGATGTGCAGATCAGGCCACTGTCTCGAGACCGTACACACGAGGAGCATGCGCCGCAGTGCGACAGTAGGCTCACGACTTGTTTAGAAAAACGTTTATTTACACTATGTACGAAAAACAAAAGTTTCATAACATTTCAGTAATGGGCACATTTACTCCGACATATCTATGTACCCCGACCAACATCACTACGTTGAAAGAAAGGTATCATTGCTCTAATATACATGACAATATTGGCAAACGTGTACACAAGAATTAACTCATGCGATATCATGATAGAATGAACGGTATAACAATACAATATATGCGACATTGTCGGCGCTTGCATAGCGGCTCGCATGTTCTCTTGGTAGAAGGCTGTCTCCGCGGCAATATTTTCGTAGCATTGCAGTCGCGCTAGAAAAGCGGAGAGTGCTGAGTTTTCAAAGGAAGAAAAAGAGCAAGCGATGGAGATAACGAGCGCGCGTGTGTGTGGCAAAAATAATTCGCCGAAGGGTGCAATTGGCTTTTACAGTCCGTAAGATGCAAAACGTATCGCACTGTTGAGTAGGCCGTTATGTTTAGATTGTAACTAGAAGAGATTACCTATAATTGCCGGAGGTTCACGTGCCGAAACCACGATATAGTTATCAGGAAGACATCGGTCATATGTTCCGAAAATTTCGGCTGGCAGGGATTTTCTAATGTGCACATAAATCGATGTACACGGACCTCTAGCGATCTCACTTTCACAGAAAATGGGGCAGCCACGGCCGGCATTGATCCCGCGAACAACGAGGAAAGCTTTCCATCCTTCGTACTTACATGCTGTTTGAAGTGGGCATTTATTAAGCATTAGCTGTTTACATTATCCAGCCATAAATATAAGTTCTATCATCAACATAATCATCGTCACACTTTTGTTATGTATATATGGAGTGAACGCTAGAGCTCCGTGTGGATATATTTGGGTGCTAGGTGACGAATACCAAATACTCGAAATTTACAGAACTCTCTACAACAGTGTTTGTCGTAGTCGCATCGAGGTTTGGGGCCTTAAACTTCATAAATAAGTGATATGTTGAATGAAGTAAAAAAAAACAGGTGGGCTAGATTACGAGAAATGATGGTAAAGCATGGCACGATAGAGTCGACTATGTCAACTTCATTATTTTGATTATGAAAGCGCACAAAAAATGAAAAAGGAAGAAGCAGACATGAAAAAAAAACTTTGCAGTGAACTACGGGCAGTGAGCGCCCTTCATGATTACTTTAGTGGACATAAATTTGATGCGCGATCTGCAAGTGGCATTACTAAGCCTTTTTAGTCATATCTTACTGGTAATGAACATATCGCAGCGATATCATACATAACGTCACGAAAACTGACCTTCCGTGTTAATCAGTCTGAGAACACGATGTGTATTGGAAACTGCGCCTATAGCTTTTTTTATACGTCAGAGATCGTACGCGCTTTAAATTATCCTAAGCGTCATCCTTCTGCTGCTTGTTAAAGGTTATCTCAACAAAGACTTCGCAGCGCACATGACCGTACATGACGTCAGTGGAGTAGCCAGGTGCAAAAAGTGAGGGAGTTAAACTCCCTTTTCCAACCCTCATCATGCTTCAATTTTCCATGCGTAGACACGCGCGCGTAGAAACTCACCAACGAATATGCACAAAACACGACCGCACCTCCTCCACCACAAAAAAAAAAAAAAAAAATTCTGACTTCGTTACACGTGTGACGCCTATGTTCAAAGATGAAGAAGACGTCATACATATAGCGCCGATTTCCAAGACATCGACGTACCAACTAACTCGATTTGCAACATTAATGACACCGAATGACGTCTGTTCTCCGCTTCACGACCAAAAGTGGATTTGAACGTTTTTCGCGGGTAAGACTGTCCCTCAAGACGCGGAGGCGCTGCAGTTTTTACCGGGTCGTGGGCGAAGAACAGACATGTAGCGCCCATTTTATTCTCTCTCGTTCCCAATCTCTCCAAATACCACGCACCGGCGCGCGCGGCTCAGCATCGCCTTTCGCTCGTCGTGCCTGCAAGGCGCCGCGTTTGACTTCGCCGCGAAGCGTAATATATTCAATAAATATTCAAGTAGGAGACTCCACGGTCCATCCACACCTCCGTCAGACAGCGCTCGGAAGCCTATAGCAGGCCGTGTTGCTCAAAGCTTCGTGCCAGCAGCACGGCAGAACGTGGTTTTATTTTTGTGTGTTTTAGTTTTCATTTCTTTTGCGAGAGAAAAAAGCAATGGGAGCAGGGGCCGTATTCCCAGCGCTGTCGTGTTACGCGAGCGACGTGTACAATCTCAACCCCACCCTCCTCCCGCAAAAAAAAAAGAAAAATGTTTCAAACGCATGTTCATAGTGACAATTTGGAAGCGTAGCAAACCGGCTGCCTATAGGCTGGTTAACCTCCCTGCCGTTCTTTTCCCTCTATTTTCCTTCCTTCCTTCCTTCCTTCCTTCCTTCCTTCCTTCCTTCCTCCCTCCCTCCCTCCCTCCCTAGTACGATGTGAAATTGGATCCTTCCTTCCTTCCGAGTACGATGTGAAATTGGATATCTAGCTCTAAGCAGATGACCACACACATTTATATTATTTCCTGATTCCTACGTTGTGATGCCAGGAGACGCGCGAGGTCGCGATGGTGGTTTTGTAAGCCAGTAAGTACGTGGGTGAATGAATTATTTGTTCATTTTTAGTGACTCGAAGGTTGAGTGACAATCTTGCTTTTCTTACAAATTTTATCCGGTCGAAAACTTACTGTCAGCTTTGAGAATATTCATAAAACCTCTTCTAAAGACACACACACACATGAAAAAACGATTATTCCCGTTCAAGTTGAGAGTTAGGTTGGATACATATATGATATCGGAGTACAAGTTCTCTTAAGAGCCAATTGATTTGAGTACATGAATGAAAGGTAATAATAATAATAATAATAATAATAATAATAATAATAATAATAATAATAATAATAATAATAATAATAATAATAATAATAATAATAATAATAATAATAATAGGGACGGTCGGATGGACGGAGGCGTCCGTCTGTCTTTCTGTCTGTCTGTTTGTTCAACGAAACATTTTGAACGTGGATATTCTGGATAGATGGATGCATGCTATTAGCATCCCCTTTAAAACGGAGTGGTAACGCAAATACTTTGGGTATTAAAAATTATTTATTAAGAAAAAAATGTTCATCGTTACTGTCAACGTATTCGATTTGACTGAACAGTACGGTCAGAATCTCTGCCGCGATTTGCCGGGACGTTTAAGTTTCTTACCTTATACCAGCGACGAAATCGTGGGTGTATATGCTAAAAGTCGGCTATCTAAAGCTCACGTGAAGTGCCTGTCATTACGAAAATTTTCCTTCCTCTAGGGTGTGCATATTCGGAAATAAAGGTGGCGACGCCCAAGGGACGGCTTTCAGCTCTCCCATAGTAGAGTACCGATTACTGTAAATCGTTAAGCACTTTTTTCCAACACACAAAGCCAGCAAAGGCACAGAGAAAATTTTTGCAGCTTCCCACAAACCGGCTGTATGCGCTTTCCTGGTTTGGGTATCATAACGATGCGGGCGGTTTTCCACTGTCGGGGAATACGTCCCTTTTCCCAGCATTCGTTAAGGAAAACCGTGAGGTGCTCTATCGATGTGTCATCTAGATTCCGAAGCGTTTTGTTCGTAACCCCGTCTGGTCCGGGCGATGATTTCGTGTTGAGCCTGTGCAGCACCGCGCGTACTTCAGCAATGCTGAAAGGTCTGTCCAAGCACTCGTTCGCAGTGCCTTTGTATTCAGAGTGGAGCACGGGTCTAGTCGGATTAGTGTATCTCATCCTGAGTTCATGCAAGAGTTCTGCGTGGGTGCCTTTGTAGACGTTGATTATCTTGTTGACATTTTGCCTATATGCTGTTTTAGTCTCCTCTGGATCCAGCAGGAACCTGAGGAGATTCCACGCCTTGGTGAACCCTACCCGGCTATCCATGCTATTACACGTCTCTTCCCACTGTGACTTGCAAAGCTGTAAAGCGTATTCCTCGATGTCTCTATTCAGTTTAGCTATTCGCCTACGTAAAGTCCTATTGTGTCGTTGTACTTTCCACCGGGCTTGTAGGCTACGTTTAGCCTCCCACATATGCAGAAGCTTACTATCTAGGACCTGGAGGTTTGCTTCAGGAGGGACCTCATGCGTTGCTGCCGCGACATCTTGCCTCAGCATTGATGTCCACTTTTCTATATCTTCGATATTTTCCGAGGAGTCAATCCTATTTTCCCTGTTTTGCCTAAACTAAACTAAACAGGAAAGCGCATACAGCTGGAAAATCTAAGGCCGATATCGCTGACGTCCTGCGTTGGTAAGGTCATGGAGCACGTGGTCCTCGCGAGACTAACAAACTTTCTCGAGGACCACGATCTGATTCCTCACACCATGCTGGGCTTCAGGAAGAGCCTCTCCACGCAGGACGCCATGCTACAACTCAAGCACCAGGTAATAGACAGCATGACCACTTCTACCAAAGCAATCTTAGGCCTAGATTTAAAGAAGGCGTTTGATAATGTCAAGCACTCGACTATACTTACCCGAATAATAGAACTAGGACTCGGTAAAAGGACGTACGACTACGTCCGTGATTTTCTAACGGACAGGACAGCGAGGATCACATTGGGAGAATTAGAGTCAGGAGAGATAGAGATGGGCAGCGCCGGCACTCCTCAGGGTTCGGTGATTTCGCCCTTGCTCTTTAACCTCGCACTCATAGGGTTACCAGCTAAATTAGAAGAGATTGACGGGCTCTCCCACAGTCTGTACGCAGACGACATTACTCTGTGGGTAACTCGGGGATGTGACGGCCAAATAGAACAGACGCTACAGCGAGCCATCGATACGGTTCAAAGATTCCTAGAGGACACGGGCCTCACCTGCTCGGCTGAGAAATCGGAGCTACTGGTTTACAGACCTACGCGCAGAGGTCGAAAGCCCAAATACAGCGAACAAAGCGCAAATCACGCAGAGGAAGCGATACAGCTAACGACCTCGGAAGGCCACGTCATTCCCAAAGTAGACGTTATACGCGTGTTAGGCTTGTATATTGCAGCCAATGGCCACAATGGCGAAACTGTTCGCAGGTTGGAACACGCGGTAAATCAGACAATCCGACTTCTAAAACGAATTACGAACCGACATAGTGGTATGAAAGAAGGGAACACTATTAGACTTGTGCAAGCCTTTGTCCTCAGTAGAATCACGTACGTTGCCTCTTACTTGAATTGGCACGTCGCCGAGAAGATAAAATTAGATTGCTTAATCAGGAAAGTGTATAAGCAAGCTTTATGCTTACCCATGAACACAAGCACAGTGAAATTATTAGAACTAGGCTTGCACAACACGCTTGACGAATTAATAGAAGCGCACAACGTAGCACAGTATGAACGACTTTCTAAGACTAAAACGGGCAGGTACATCCTCGAAAAACTGGGAATCCACTATCACACGCAGCAAGGCGAAAAAGCCGACATAACCGTGATGGTGAGGGAAAAGATAGTGATTCCGCCGTTGCCCAAAAATATGCACCCGGAACATCACACCGGCCGAAGAAACCAGAGAGCGCAGGACTTGCAGAGAAAATTCGGAAATTGCAAGGAAGCGGTATTCGTGGACGCGGCCAGATACGCGCGAAGGTGTGGTTACGTGGCCGCGGTGGTCGACGGTAAAGGGACATGCATGACGAGCGTTACGGTGCAAACGCCACTGACCGAGACGGCCGAGGAGGTGGCCATAGCACTCGCGGTGGCGACCACTGAGGCCGAAGTAGTAATTAGTGACTCGCAAGCAGCGATACGCAACTATGCGAACGGTCGTGTCTCCCGAGAGGCGCTGCGAATCCTAATGACTAACGAAGACAAAATTCGGGAAAAAAATGACACTTTCGTCATATGGACCCCCGCACACACACAAACCCCGCTGGCCGGCAACGAGGCGGCGCACGCGGCGGCTCGAGCACTCACGAACCGAGCCGTTGCGAACGCCGACGCCGCCTCGGACGAAGTTCCACGCGGGGGGGAGTGGGAGTGGGGGGACCGCATGACTAGTTACCACGAAATAACGCAGCACTATAAGCTAGAAAGGCGAAAGTACCCTCCGCCACACAACAGGTTAAATAAAAAACAGGCAGTTGCGTGGCGACAACTGCAAACATATACTTATCCGAATCCAGTTCTCTTTAGTCTCTGTTACCCTGATCTGTATTTAACAGAAAAATGCAAGGTTTGCGATGAAAGGGCGACACTTTCACATATACTATGGGAATGCTCGAGTTTAGATGAAAGCAACGATGAAAACCACGAAGAGGCAGTTTCGGACCGCAGGACACGCTGGGAGGGGGCTCTGCTCAGCTCCTCATTCGAACAACAACTGTGGGCCGTCCAGCGAGCCGAGGAAGCCGCCCGAGCCCAAGGGCTCGTGGCCGACGCCTAGGCCCGCCCCAAATCAACTTCGCTGGACTTCATAAATAAAGTTATTCTTCTTCTTCTTCCCACAAACCGTGGAGGCTTGAGTCTCCCAGATATACCGAAATTCACGAGAGCGCTGGCTGCAAAAAACAACACAGAAGCTCTTCGATGAGAGCAACTACCCCGGGTACAGGCTCTTGATGTACTGGAGCAGTACACTAAAAGGTACTTTCACGGCCAATCCGCACATCGCACCACGAGCAGAAATTCCGCTTAAGTTTTACAGAGCTGCCACTGGCTCAAAACGAAGAGTGGAATAAATAGTTTCATGCAGTCTGGAAGATGTAAGATATAGCGCAGTGAGTAAAGAGGAAGAAACAACATTCTGCACGAAAAAATGTAAACAATGGCGTTGCAAACACGTACCTAACCAGGTGCGCGAATTTGACAGGTTGAGAAAATGGAGGGCATTACCTCACGCGTGACCGGTTAGCACATTGGGGAGTCGTTCCAAATGACCGCTGTCCAAACTGCGGCAAAAAAAGAAAAGACGGCCCAACATGCTCTGTTTCAGTGCTCGGTGGCAAGAGGCGTCTGGCACATGGTACAACGCCTATTTGGTTCTCGCACGGCGCGCATGGGAAGAGAACGTGGGCTTTTTTGCAAGAATGGTCTTTACAGTAACCTTGTACGTAATGTGGCGGCGACGCTGTTTAGCGGAAGTACGGCACAAGCCGCATAGAGGCGCCTATCCCGCACTACAGAAAATACGGCTCATTGTGTGGAATTACCTAGATCAGCAGCTGGAAACGCACGGCGAAGAGGCCTTCCTTCGACGATGGCACACACGTTTCTTCAAAGTAAGAGAGGGACAGCTGAAGTTTCCAGTTGTCCCGTACTAGCCATGCGCTCCCTCTAGTACGCATGCATAAGTGTTACCCCGTAAAATGTGAATAACTTGATTCATTTTAATGTTCTTTGACTTGTAACATTTGGATACCCAGTGATCGATTAGATTTAGGTGCACATTTGTAAGATGTATACACTGTCTTTACTTGTTTTCGATGTTTCGTTTGTGTATGTACAAGTTAAGTGTACAATAAACTTCCCTTTCTTAATATTGAATTTCCTTTACTGCCGTTATAACTCGGGGAAAAAATGCTTCTCTTCGCACGTTACATGTGCATCTGTTCCAACTTAGTGCTTTTTGCGTTTCTTTTTCTCTTTGTTTTCTTGAGTGATTCGTGAAGAATATTGAAGTGCTGTGTGTTACATCGATGTCCATGTCCTTTTGTTTCTACATTTCACTCAAGTGATTTTGTTACACCAAACAGTTGTACTCACCTGAAATGTTGTTACCAGTTTGCAATAAACTTCCCTGTTTAAATCAAACTAGTGACACATGCCCACTCACGGGACGGCTTTATGCTCTCCCATAGTAGAGTACTCAGTACTCTAAACCGTTAACCACTTTTTCTAAACACACAAACAGAAGCCGTCGTTCGGGATCTCTAGAGTACCGTCCACGTTCTATGCGACCTAAAAGAGTGTGTTTTTTGTGAGGCGTCTTGCTGCCAAGCTGAAGGAAACATGGCGTAATGTTTGTCAACGCGGCCTCATCAAGTGTTAGGTCCGTGGGACGGCTTCATGCTCTCCCATAGTAGAGTACTAAGTGATCTAAATCGTTAACTACTTTGTGTAAGCGCACCAAACTTGGGGATTTACCCCGAGATCTGGGGACTTTTCATCTCGTCCTGGAATTTGGCACGTCCTTATGTAATCTAGGGATTTTTGCAAGGCTTGGAAAATTTTACGTTATATGGTTATATACTACAGGCATTAGCGAGTAGTAGCACGTTTTGAACTGTAAGGGCCTGAAAACAAAAAGAACAATAATTTTAGCTGTTTGCTGATTGAATGCGATAGCAGGTCTCTGACTTGAGATTATTAGGCTGGGTATCGGGTCTAGTTGTATGATACTGCTGTAATGATCATTTAGTTAGGACTCGTTTATTACCGTGAGTGCCCTGAGTGATTGCTGGTATGTGAAACTAGGAGCGATTTGGTTTCGGTCGTGTCACGGCCGCTGGATGCGGACGAAAGTATGCCGAGTTCATTCTTGTCGGGTGCCTTCACCGTATAATATTGCTTCATGTCAAATAACTTCAACACAGCGGTAAGTCATTAAAATGCAATAAATTAGAGACTGTGATAAATTTAGAAGGAAATCAAGGCTAAGAGTTGGTTGAGTCAATTCAGACTCCTCGTAATTAGAACGGCCTGATCCAAAGCGAAGAAGACACTGTTCGCGTTCGTCTTATGCCTCTCAGAGTAAAATCAGTGACGAAAAAGAATTTGCCAAATGGGAAGGTGATAGGAAGTCAACAACATAGCTATAATCTAGTAAGCAATGGGCCCCGTATTTCTACTGCTAATAATGCATTGCTGTTTGCATATCTGGAAGATTAGAAATCTACCACCCCCTCGAAAGCTGCAAGTACAATAAAGGTGCTACGGAGTGGCTATCGACCTGGA